AATACAACATACACTCAAGGCAGATGACAGGGTATGAACACATGCAGTAGGAAGAAAGCTGGACATACTGCTATTAAGATATGTAATATAAGATAGTGAGTAGTTAAGGTGAAGTGCCATGAATGAGTTATAGGTATACAGAGAGACTGACCCCCACAACCCCATAGCCCTAAGGGCAGTTAGGTGGGGCCTGAACCTGAAAGATTCCCTGGGCTGGTTACAACTGTGATGACAAACTTAAATCAGGTGTTGTACAAAGAGCAAATTTCATCAATTCTTAGATAAGTATTTTTTCATATTTACATCAGGAATTATAGTGAACATCACATCAGATGGCTTCTTATTTATTTATTTATTTTCATTTTTTTTTTTTGAGACGGAGTCTTGCTCTGTCGCCCAGGCTGGAGTGCAGTGGCAGGATCTCTGCTCACTGTGAGCTCCGCCTCCTGGGTTCACACCATTCTCCTGCCTCAGCCTCCCAAGTAACTGGGACTACAGACGCCCACCACCACACATAGCTCATTTTCTGTATTTTTAGTAGAGACGGAGTTTCACCGTGTTAGCCAGGATGGTCTCGATCTCCTGACTTCGTGATCTGCCCGCCTCGGCCTCTCAAAGTGCTAGGATTACAGGCGTGAGCCACTGAGCCTGGCCTCAGATGGCTTCTTAAAGTGACGGTTAACCAGGGCAGCAGTCATGACTCAGTTGTTTTTGCGGGTGCATGCATGAACTTCTTCATAGCTCTTCTACACTTCTACAGAGTTATGAGTATTGTTTGCTCTATATTTACTATGTTTAATTGCCATTTATAGCACAATAGGGTGACTATAGTCAATAATAACTCAATAGTACATTTTTAAAATAACTTAAGGAGTGTAATTGGAGTGTAACTCAAAGGATAAATGCTTGAGGGGATGGATACCCCATTCTCCATGATGTGCTTAGTTCACTCTGTATGCCTTTCATGTACCCCATCAATATATATACCTACTAAGTATCCCTAAAAATTAAAAAATAAAATTTTAAAATATTGACATTTAAAATGTCTTTTAAAAGACTATGGTGTAATTTGGCATAACAAAAAGTTACTGGGTATGGAAATAAGCACGAAAACAGAACAACAGGTTGCAAACTTGTACTGGTGAGGCAAATATGGACTATTGGAGGAATAGCCACAATTCTGTGTATTCTTGCAAAGCAACCAAATAATTTACAATTTCTAAAAATGGTGGATAGCTTTGAGTAGATAAGTTAGTCAAGTTGCTTATTTCACTTTAAGGTTGGAGAAATCACCAAATCCCTCAGAATATAAGAAAAAACTGTATTAGGATGAAAGAACAGTTTTTGAGTCACAAGTACTCTTGTTAAGGCATCAAACGTTAATTTGCCAAAAACTTCCTGCTGTCTTTGAATAGAAGCTATTAAATTTCCAAAGATGTATGATTCAGCAGTTGCTGCAAAATGTAACTATATGCTTAGTCAGGTAGGAAATAGCGATAAACCTTTACATGCTTTGACAACCATCAAAATTATACTGCCCATGCTAAAGGTACTAAAAGTGCATGGATTTATGTAAATAAGTGGCATGACACTATGACACTATGCATAGGCATGCCACTATATTTAACTGAAAGCTGTAAAATATTTAATAAAATCTTCTGTGATGATATTGTGCATACTCATAAGAAGGGGATGCACAATGTTTTAGCTGATGATCTAGTTGCTGTGAACACTGAATTAGCAAATACTAAATCATTGCTTCTGGGGGAAGTACAGGTTAGATTTCTGTGAGCCTGTGGTCACAATATTTTCATTAGATAATACATAACCTTGTTTTATGTGCATTTCTATTTTTAAAAACCTTATGTAATATATATTGTTGATTCATTAGCACTGAATTACAGCCAACAGCACTGTAAGTGAAAACCTGAACAAACCTTATCTAATACTTGTATTTTCTCTGTAAGGCACATGAAAACCTTCTTGGACTTGGGATCACTAAATAGCAGTTGAGCACTATGCTTGGGGGCTATTTTAAACATTGAATTCACTGACAAAAATCTCAAAAATGGGAAAATGAGCATTAAACAGACCATCGAGAGGACACCTGTTTCCAGTATAAGAGCTGCAAGAAGAAGGCAGAGTATCACCTTGCTCAACCTTGGCTGGGAACTAAAATTTTTTGCCACCCTGTGAATATTTGTGAGTGACCATGAGAACTCTGTAAGTACAGATTTGAGAATTACCAATAAATTTTAGCAAGGAGTTCAAAATGCAAAACCCATAAATAATGAGGATGGACAGAATTTTGTAAAACTTCAAAGTCATATGGCAAAGGATGTGGGTAAAGGGAAGATTAAAAAATTGGAACCAGTGATGCCCAATCTTGGGATCCATCTCAGACTTTTTGAATCAAAATCTGCATTTCATATTCCCCAGGTGTTTCTATGCACCTCTGAGACATGCTGCCCTCAATACCATGATAGGTACATCCATACCAGACGGTGGAAGTTAAACTGTATAAACCATATAAACCAGACGGTGGAAGTTAAATTGTACAGTTTAACTCTACAAATTACAGTCCTACATTTGTAAAGGTTTTATGGGTCTAAAGGTCTGGGGTGTGCTAGGACAACCTCTGTAAGGTGAAAGACAAGTTCCTGCATCTTGCAATTCCTATTAAGAGCAAAATGGCAGACCACCTACTGGGCCTCTTTAGCTTTTGGAGATAGAATATACACGTGGGAATACAGCTGCCAATTTGAGTGGATCCCTAGCAAGACAGAGCTCTGTAGCAAGTCCCTGCTGGGATGCAAACTGTCTTGCTATCTGACCTTGTGTCTCAGCAGATCCAATGTGGCTAGCGTCCCTGGAAGATAAAGATGCTGTGTGAAGTCTTAAGCAACCTTAACAGGTGAAGCACAGTGCAGAACCTCAGGGATCTGGAGCAAGGCCATTCCTTTGATAGTAAGTAATTTGAAAAGCAGCCCCTGGCATGCACTGGGCCCAGGAGAGACTAAGAGTCTGGCCATGTAACTCTAGTGATAATGCAACTAAGCCCATCACAAGCTGGACACTGCCAGTTTTACCAAGCCAAAGTGTTAGGTGAGTATAGCAGCAATGCATTAGGCAGATAACGATGAAGAGGAGTTAAGGTAATGAAACACCTCTGAAGTCAAAGAACAGTGGCCAGAAGAACATGGGTGGGAGAGTTGGAAGTTTCCCAAGAAAAGCAAGCTCAGCATAATATTATCTTTTTCTGACTCCCTAACTGCTCTCTACCTGAATTTCCTCTATTAGGTGCAGAATAGTAACATGCACTCTTGCCCAGGTCAAATTTATGGAGTTATCATTGATAACTTCTGCTTATCAAAGGCATCATCCCTTAAAACAGTATCTCTTTAATCTGTGCCTTTCTCCGTGGCTACTGTCTTAATTTTTTCAGCATTTATTTCTCACACGTTTTCCACATTATCGACAAGTGATGTTTCTGCATATCTGATCATCCCATTTATTCTTCAGATGTTTACTGAACATTTTCTTTTTTTTTTTTTTTTTTTTTGAGACGGAGTCTCGCTCTGTCGCCCAGGCTGGAGTGCAGTGGCCAGATCTCAGCTCACTGCAAGCTCCGCCTCCCGGGTTCACGCCATTCTCCTGCCTCAGCCTCCCAAGTAGCTGGGACCACAGGCGCCACCACCTCGCCCGGCTAATTTTTTGTGTTTTTAGTAGAGACGGGGTTTCGCCGTGTTAGCCAGGATGGTCTCGATCTCCTGACCTTGTGATCCGCCCGTCTTGGCCTCCCAAAGTGCTGGGATTACAGGCTTGAGCCACCGCGCCCGGCCTACTGAACATTTTCTATGTATCATGCCCTGGGTTAAGCCCTGGATAAATAATGTGAAGAAGAAAAAAGAGACAATGTTACTGGGCTCCTGGAATTTGCAGTTCGGTGAAAAAGATACGTAAATCCTGCTTAAGATCCTTCAGTGGTTCCTTGCTGTTTTCAGGAAGCCCAGATGTTTTGAGCGGGTTGCCTCTGTTTACCTCTCCAGCATCACCTCTAATCAGTACCCTTTACTCTGCAGCCACAGTGCGTTTTCCCTTCTTCACAGCACCCTCCTCTCTGCCTGGGTAAAGTCTACCATCTTTTAAGGGTTCAGTCCAGCAATCCACTTTTTCAGGAAGACTTCTGGACACTCTCCTCCCCCTTCCTCCGTAGTTCCAGCACATCTCATGCCATCACTATCATATAGGTACCACGCTTTTTATCCTGATTCTCCGTTGTCTTTTTTTTTTTTTTTTTTTTTTGAGACGGAGTCTTGCTCTGTCACCCAGGCTGGAGTGCAGTGGCTGGATCTCAGCTCCCTGCAAGCTCCGCCTCCCGGGTTTACGCCATTCTCCTGCCTCAGCCTCCCGAGTAGCTGGGACTACAGGCGCCCGCCACCGCGCCCGGCTAATTTTTTGTATTTTTAGTAGAGACGGGGTTTCACCGTGTTATCCAGGATGGTCTCGATCTCCTGACCTCGTGATCCGCCCGCCTCGGCCTCCCAAAGTGCTGGGATTACAGGCTTGAGCCACCGCGCCCGGCCTAGATTCTCCGTTGTCTTGTCCACTGCCTCTACTCCACAGTGAACTCAACTTTGTGTCCTCAATACTTAGTACAGTGATTTCTAGTAATCGACATTTTTTCTGTCAAATTGAATCGGATATATAGAAATACCCGCTGCCTCCCGCAAGGGCAGATAAGGCCAACCCATCACTCCTGCACCCCGACAAAGGAACAACAGCACCGTGCTGCACGGAGTCCTCTGGCCTTGCTGCCTGGCAATGGGTAGCCACCTGGGCGTCTGTCTCAGAATAGGACTCCGCGGCGCGCCTCCTAGCGCCATCGGTTGACACTGCAAGAATGGGAGGGGGCCGGTGAGCACGCGGTCCCAGACCTGCGCATGGCGCATGCGTAGAACGCGAGCGCTCGGCATGGCTCGGCTCGGAAGAGTCCAAGCGTGAGGGGACAGGACTGTGAATTCAGATACTGTTTTTCTCCCGAAATAGGTATTTGGCTCCTATTTTTTTCCTCCTCGACAGCATCTTAATTTGAAATATGACACTTGACCTACGGACCTGCAGGGACCGGTTAAGAGGATGAGAGGCCAAACTCTTTTTGGTGTTTAGGCGCCCCTACTCGGGGCGGTGTGTTGGGAGGGCCCAGGTCAAGGCGCGCGTGGGCGGAAGCGGCGGCGGCGGCGGCGAAGGCGGCGGCTGTCAGAGCTGGAGGGCCGGGCACCGCGGCCATGGAGGGTCAACGCTGGCTGCCGCTGGAGGCCAATCCCGAGGTGGGCGCGCTTCGGGGCAGCCCTGGGCCGTGGGCAGGCGCAGAGGGAGCCGGCTTGCTGCCGCGAGTCCACGGTAGTTTGTCTCTAAAGCGTGTTCTCTGTTTCGTTTTCAGGTCACCAACCAGGTGAGTGAGGTGTCTGTCGCTCGGGACCTCGGAGTCCTTTCTGTCTGCTCGGTCCGCTTCCCTGCTGGACTTCACCTCCACGCTTCCAAGGATTCTGGGATTTAATTTCTTGAGGGCCCCTCTTGTTCGGCTTTACGCGGGTCCGCCCCTTTCAGAAAGGGCCATCTCCCTGCCACCTGGCTCCTGGAGATGCTCCCACCACTCCTCTGGTCCCATTCCTCAGCCACCACGTATCTTGGGGACTCCGGGTCAGAGGTTTGGAGGGACTTTTACCCTGTATTCCTATTCCCCTTCTTCGTTTTGCCTCCTGTTAGTGCCGATTCCATAATTTTCCTTCTGGTGTACCTTCTGGATGACTAATTTGCCCACACTTCCTGACTCCAAGCTTTGTAAACTCGCCCACCCAGTTCTTGTAATTTCATCCACCGCCTGCACTATGAAATCGTCTTCCAATCATCTCTTGCCCCATCAAGTCACTTTTCTTCCCCGCCACGCCCCCTTTATCTTACAGTCTTTTAAAGCTGGACATTTAGTTGCTGTTGTATCAAAGAAAGCTCAGTTTAGTAGTTCCCACGCCATTCTTTGCAATCTACAGCAGTTTAAGTTCCTTCTAGGTGTTGGAGGTTGGGGTTTGGGGAGGGACGAGGGAACATCTCCCAGTTACTCAGAAGAACAGTAAGTGCTACCAGGTGTAAACTTTTGATCTGCTCAGGTGTGCCTTATCTTACCCTGGTTTTTTTTCATTCTCAACAGCTCATTTGTTTTTTACTGCTCTCCGAGTTTATCATACTCCCCTCACCTCCACCATCTTCCTTCTCGTCACCAGGGAACAATTAACCGTGTTCTTAAAAAAATTGGTTTTTGGTTTTCAAAGCTTGTAGCAAATTCCCTGGACAGAGAGACATCCTTGTCTTGTTCTCTATCTTAGGGAGAAAACATTTGATCTTTCACCATTAAGTATGTTAGCTTTAGGTTTTTGGTAAATGTTTTTTAAATCGGGTTAAGGAAGTTCCTCTTTTCCCACTAGTTTGCTGAGAGTTTTTCTTATGAATCTGTGTTGAATTTTCGCAAATGATTTTTCTGCATCTCTGAGATGATCATTTAAGGAAGAAATAATACCAATCCTACATAAACATAGAAGAGGGGAGACGGCCAGGCGCGGTGGCTCACGCCTGTAATCCCTAGCACTTGCGCTCTGGGAGGCTGAGGTGGGCGGATCACCTGAGGTCAGGAGTTCGAGACCAGCCTGGCCGGTGAAACCCATCTCTGCTAAAATACAAAAATTAGCCGAGTGTGGTGACGCACTCCTGTAATTCCAGCTACTCGGGAGGCTGAGACAGGAGAATCGCTTGAACCCAGAAGGCGGAGGTTGCTTTCAAGCCGAGATTGCATCACTGCACTCCAGCCTGGGTGACAGAGCAAGACTCTGTCTCAAAAAAAAAGAAAAAAAAAAAAAGACACTTCCTAACTAATTTTGTGCTAGCATTACCCTGACGCCAAACTAGACAGTTCATAATAAGAAAAACTGCAAATCAGTATCCCTCATGAACATGGATGTAAGAAATCCCCTACAAAATATCAGCAAATAGAATACAGCAATAAATATATAAAAAGAGTAACATATGACCAAGAGCAGTTTATCCTGGTGTTGCAAAGCTGGTTCACCATTCAAAAATCAACGTGATTAGCCGTATCAATAGACTAAAAACACTTTTTAGATGATGTTAATTGTTTTAACAAACTGTAAGTTTGTGTGAGTAGGAACTTATGTCCTGTGATTCAGCTGCTAGTGGACCTTGTTCCTAGGGTGTCTTGAAAAATTATCAAATGGCCGGGCGCGGTGGCTCAAGCCTGTAATCCCAGCACTTTGGGAGGCCGAGACGGGCGGATCACGAGGTCAGGAGATCGAGACCATCCTGGCTAACACAATGAAACCCCGTCTCTACTAAAAATACAAAAAAATTAGCCGGGCGAGGTGGCGGGCGCCTGTAGTCCCAGCTACTCGGGAGGCTGAGGCAGGAGAATGGCGGGAACCCGGGAGGCGGAGCTTGCAGTGAGCCGAGATAGCGCCACTGCACTCCAGCCTGGGACAGAGCGAGACTCCGTCTCAAAAAAAAAAAAAAAAAAAAAAAAAAAAAAAAAAAAAAAGAAAAATTATCAAACACATTAATATTTTAGGGGCACCTTTTTTAATACCAGTAATCTGAACAGGAGCTGGTGATTCTTTGGTGATTAAAATATTCATGGTTTTCTGCTTTTCAATCTAGTTGAAAGACAGTAAACAAGCAAACAAGTCATTAGCGTTTATTATAAGTACAATAAGAAAAAGAACATAGTGCTTTGATAGAGACCATCAGGGAAAATGTAATACATGGAATAGTGACAGGAGACCTTTCTGAGATGATCTAAACAGACAAACAATGTTATTTAGTATATGATTTTATACTATATCTGACATGCTTTTGCATGATTTAGTTTGTTTTAAATTTATTTTTTTTTATTTATTTATTTTTTTGAGACGGAGTCTCGCTCTGTCGCCCAAGCTGGAGTGCAGTGGCCGGATCTCAGCTCACTGCAAGCTCCGCCTCCCAGGTTTACGCCATTCTCCTGCCTCCCGAGTAGCTGGGACTACAGGCGCCTGCCACCTCGCCCGGCTAGTTTTTTGTATTTTTTTAGTAGAGACGGGGTTTCACCGTGTTAGCCAGGATGGTCTTGATCTCCTGACCTCGTGATCCGCCCGTCTCGGCCTCCCAAAGTGCTGGGATTACAGGCTTGAGCCACCGCGCCCGGCCTTTAAATTTATTTTTTAAAGAAATAATGTGCTTTTAGTGGGAGAATGGACAAGTATGTAAGAAGTGATTAGTTATAACTAAAACTTTTGTGGTTGTTTTATTCTCTATGTTTTAGTGGCAGAACCAAGAATAGAAGACGGATAGAAATGTAGTTAACTGACTTAGAATTTGGAGAATGAATAAACCCTAACAACAATATCCATCCCACCCTCTTTTATTTCCTCAACCTAATGGAATGGTAGGATCTTGGACTCACGCTGTTACCATCTGGTAATTGCATGTGTTGTTGTTATAATCAGTGTGAGCAAATACTGCTTTAGACTCTGATGATGCCTAGTGTTGTATAAGAATGGCCATCACATGTCTACTACATGCAGATGAGTATTAATTGTTAGACATTAGCTAGTAACCATGTGTCTCAGCAAATGTGGTAGACAGTGATTTCTCTTGTTGGTTAGCATGCTGTCAGCCCTTTTAAGGATACTGTGTCATGCTACAGGTAGGACTTAATCAGAATAAAATGAGTTAAGTGATCAAAAAAATTATTTAAATTATTAAAAATTATTAATTATTTAATAATTAAAATTATTAAATGCATAGGTAAATTATCTATTTACCTATGCATTTAAAGGGGTAAATGCAGGTTGCAGCTGATGGAAAGTTACAGATAATTAAACATCAAGAATTACAACGTTTATAGAATGTGATATAGGCAGTCATTATTATTTATGACCATACTAAATCTTCATTGTGATTATTTTTTTGTGATTTGAGTACAGTACAACCACATGTATATTTTACATATTGTTGTGCTTTGGAACTAATGGTTTTTTTTTTTTATATGGACCCCTTCCCAACCCAAGGATGATTTTTTCTACTTGTGATTTTATTGAGGAGGCAAAATATTTTCTAGCATAATATCGAAAGGGAAATAAATTTACTATAGCATAACTATTCTATTTAGCCTGTATGCTTAGAGTTAGAAAAATAATTAGAGATCATCTGCTGGCTTATTGCCTTAATCACAATAAATCATATAAATTCTCATAAGAATTCTTTAATTAGTAGATACCATTTTAGGAAAAATTCTTTGTTATCCTGTCCTCCTTGAGCTGCTGCCTTATCTGTTCTCCTTCTTTGTAAACTTTCCACAAAGAATTGTTCATAGCTGCTGCCACTGCTACCTCAGCTCGCATTCTTTTCCGTATTCATTCCTTTGTAGCTTGCTTCTGTGTGTACCATTTTGTAGTAACTACTTTTGTCAAGTTTACTAATGATTGCCACTTCGCCACAGTGATCACTTTTCTGTCACCGTATTTCTTGGCCTTTCAGCAGCATTTGGTAGTATAGCCCACTCCATCCTTACTGAAACATTATCTTTTCTTGGTTTCTGTGATAATTCTGATTGTCCTCTACTTTCCTAATTGCTTCGAAGAGTCTCCGTTGCTAGATCATCTCCCTTCCAACTTCTAAGGAGCTCCTCAGCCACTTCATCTTAGACTGCTAATCTTTTCTATGTGTTTTCTTGCCCTAGTCATGTTTTCTGTTGTACAGTTCTAATACCATCAGTTGTCACATAGATGACCCCATGTTCCTCGAAACCCTGACGTTGCCACCAAATTGGAAATCTGTGTATTCAGCCAACTCTTTGGTATCTCCATCTGGATGTCTTATAGATACCTTAAACTTAATATGGCCAAAAAGAAGTACGGATTTTCATCTTCCCATCTCTGCTCTCAACCCATTTCTTCCCTATCTTCCAAGGGCATAGCCATCCATGCAGTGTTTGAGGTGACGAGTTGATGCCATTGATTCTTCTTTCAGATTGCCATTCCAGAGAGGCTGTAGTGTCTTGATTTGATTCTTGGATTGTAATCTCTGCTTTGCTATTTACCAGCTCTGCGACCATGGGCAGTTACCTAACCTCTTTGTGCCTTAGTTCCTTAATTTCTTCCTTTCTTTTTTCCTTTTTTAAAGACAGGGTCTTGTTCTATCCAGGCAGGCTGGATTACAGTGGCACAATCATAGCTCACTATAACCTTGGAATTCCTGGGCTCAAGCAATCCTCCCACCTCAGCCTTCCAAGTAGATAGGACTACAAGCTTGCATCATCACACCCGGCTACTTTTTATATTTTTTGTAGAGACAAGACGATTTTACTCTGTTTCCCAGGATGGTCTCAAATGCTTGGCCTCAAGCAATGAGTTC